GGGAATAACGTGGCCTTTAACCTCCAAATATCCCAAAAAATCCCAAAAAATCAAAAAAAATTCCAAAAAATCTCAAATATCCTGATCCCTAAACATCCTAAAATTCCCAAAATTCCCAAATTTTCCCAAAATTCCCATTTTTTTGCAGGAAAAAGAATCCCTGGATGGGAATAACGTCGCCTTTAATCCCCAGATGTCTCAAAAATCCCCAAAAAATCCAAAAAAATCCCAAAAAATCCCAAATATTCTCAAATATCCTGAACCCTAAACATCCCAAAATTCCCAAAATTCCCAAATTTTCCTAAAATTCCCGTTTTTTCCAGGAAAAGGAGTCTCCAGACGGGAATAACGTCGCCTGTATCCTGACCCTCCCCCCGTACCAACGGCGCGGTTACGGAAAATTCCTCATCGCCTTCAGTGAGAGCCCAAATTGGGGAATTTTGGGGTGAAATCCCGAAAATTTGGGATTTGGGGAAGAAAGGGAAAAAAAATTGGGGAAAAATTCCAAAAATTTGAGGTGATTTCCTTAAAAAAAGAGGGAGGAGCCCAAAAATTCCTCGTGGATTTGGGGAAATTCCCGAAAAAAAATTGGGATTTTAGGGGAGAATCCTGAAAAAATTGGGATTTTGGGAAGGGATCCCGAAAAGTTTGGGAGAAAAAAGTTGGGAGAAATTCCAAAAATTTGGGAGAAAAATTTGGGAGAAATTACAAAAATTTGGGGAAAAAATTTGGGAGAAATTCCAAAAATTTGGGGAAAAATTGGGAGAAATTTTGGATAATTTTGGGATAATTTTTGGGTGAATTTTGGGATAATTTTGGGATATTTTTGGGGATGATTTCGGGACAATTTCAGGATATTTTCAGGATAATTTCAGGATAATTTCAGGATAATTTTAGGATATTTTTGGTTAATTTTGGGGTGTTTTTCAGGTTATGAACTGTCCAAAGTGGAGAGCACCGAGAGATTTTTGGGATAATTTTGGGATAATTTTGGGGTGAATTTGGGATATTTTTGGGGATAATTTTGGGATAATTTCAGGATATTTTTGGGATATTTTCAGGATAATTTTGGGGTGAATTTGGGGTGTTTTTGGTTAATTTTGGGTAAATTTTTCAGGTTATGAACTGTCCAAACTGGAGAGCACCGTGGGCTCCCCGGAGAAGCCGCTGTCGGACCTGGGCAAGCTCAGCTACCGCAGTTACTGGTCCTGGGTGCTCCTGGAGATCCTCAGGGATTTCAGAGGAACCCTCAGCATCAAAGACCTCAGGTAGGACCAGTATAAACCAGTATGGACCAGTAAAAACAGAAAAAAACCCGAAAAAATCCATAAAACCTTATAGAAACCAGTATAAACCAGTATAGACCAGTAAAAACAAAAAAAAAACCAAAAAAATCCATAAAACTTTATAGAAACCAGTATAGACCAGTATAGACCAGTATGGACCAGTATAAACCAGTGAGTCCTGGGTGCTGCTGGAGATCCTCAGGGACTTCAGAGGGACCCTCAGCATCAAAGACCTCAGGTAAAACCAGTATAAACCAGTATGGACCAGTACAAACCAGTATGGACAAAAAAAACCCCGAAAAAATCCGTTAAAATACATAGAAACCGGTATAAACCAGTATGGACCAGTATGGACCAGTATGGACCAGTATAAACCAGTAAAAACAAAAAAAAACCCAAAAAATCCATAAAACCTTATAGAAACCAGTATAAACCAGTATGGACCAGTACAAACCAGTATGGACAAAAAAAACCCCGAAAAAATCCGTTAAAATACATAGAAACCAGTATAGACCAGTATGGACCAGTATGGACAAAAAAAAACCCATAAAAATCCGTAAAACTTTATAGAAACCAGTATAGACCAGTATGGACCAGTATGAACAAAAAAAACCCCGAAAAAATCCATAAAAATACATAGAAACCAGTATAAACCAGTATAAACCAGTATAAACCAGTATAAACCAGTATAGACCAGTATAAACCAGTATGGACCAGTATGGACC